AGCAGAAAAGAGCTATAATTGAAGATGAATCCATTGATAGAGAACAAACTGCAATTAAAAAACTTAAAAAAATTTTAAAACTTTTAGACTAAAATATTCGCTTACATACTACTTAAAATTGCACACTTCGTCATTAACCCTTCAACATCAAAATACAATCTTCCTCTTCCTCTCAATAGTCTAATTATTACATTCTTGGTTTTTTTTTTAATTCGACATCCACTTATTTTTTTTATGTTGATATAATAACATTACTCTTTGAACTAAATACTCTGGGCTTAAATAACTAGTAACAAAAATTAGGTAAGTATCATCAATAAAAGTTATTATTGTAAAGTATATATATCGGAATAAAAATCTCAAAATATATATACTCACGTCGCTAGTAATATGCAAATAAGTGTATTTCTGACAAAATCACAATCAACACTCTTTATAATGAGCCGTTGGTTCTGGACATAAAAAACATTCACCATATAAAATTTAACTGAACTATTATAACTTTTAGTTTGTTACGTCCAAGAAGTTTAGTTATACGTAAAGAGAGTGTATAACGATAACAGATAAACTTGTCAATTTTAAGTAGATATCGTCAATTTTAAGTAGATATCGATAACTGATAACGATAAAATTTGTGAAACAGCCATGAAAAAAATCCGATCATATTAATTTATCATATGAGTATAACTTATATTTTAATATCGCATACCCCAGTGAAACATGTAGTCGATTACAGAATTTTGCTTAGACGATTAAATATGGTTGATCATCCCAAATTTATGCGCACCCCTTGATATGTGTGCAAGTTTTGTGGCGCAGATTTAAGATCAGGTGCAACGTAACACGATCAAGAAAATTCAAAACAAATCGAATTTCTACATAAGAAACCACTTTTGGTGCTCTAACAAAAAGTTTTCGCTGGGCAATTTACTATATAAACTACTATTCTTTAGCCCATAACGCTAATCCTAACTCTAACATGAATGAACTTTAAAGAATTTGTGCTGCGTCATAAACCTGTCACACATTCTACGATAAACACTTAAGGCCATATAAAATTAATTTTTTGTTTCTCATAAGATTTTAAAAATGACCCGGCCGACCGTTTTTTTTTTTAAATTTTAGATATAAAATTTTATAAATTTTTTAAAAAAATTCTTTTGAAACCCCACCCGACCATTTAAATATATAAAAAATTTTCTTCAAAAGTTTCCAAAATTTGACCCGGCCGGGTTATGAGAAACAATTAATTAAATTTGTATGGACTAATGGATTGGAACTCTAAAGCAAGATTTATTTTATAGCTGTTTTCAGATCGTCATACCGCTCTAACCAGAATTTGTCTTTTTGAAAACAGTTGTAATCTGATTTCTTTACAAAGATGGTTACTATCGATGGGGGGTGTTACTGATTAATAAGTAAGCCTCAATGATAATTAATGTTTATAGCTTAAAAAAATTTCCAACGGAAGTCGTTTCGTACAAAATTTTCTGAATAATAAATTGAATGAATATCTAATAAACTGAAAGAATCAATAACAAATCAATGACAAATAAATAAAAAATCGCTTTTATCAACCAGGTGATATTACCTAGAGTGAAAATTAGCAAGACTTATATAAATATGTATAGCTAAAAGGCTTTAAAGATATATACTAAAATAAACTTTATATCCTTATACTTTTATCTATCCTCTCACATACCACATTAATATAACTAAATACAATAAATGAGAAAAAATTTTTCTACAACTAATATATCTACATCATTTATAGCTAACTAAATTTAGTGGAGACCAGGTAACCCACTTTAGTGTTTTTTTTATAAAAGCCAATGATTTAATTTTTAATTTTACAAAAAGCAATTAAATCAAACACTAAAAATTATACTTTAAAAAATTTTTTGATAATTTATAAAGAATTATAATCATGAACCGATATTCTATCATGTTATTCATTTTCTTTGCTACACTTTCTATAATAAAATGCTATTCCATATCAACTGAACAAAATTACTACATGTCTCTGACTCACCATCTTTTACAACTACAAATCTAGCAATTACTCCTGATCCTTTCTTCCCTGGTGCGAATATAACTGTTTATGGAACAGTGACTACAAATGTTGACTTTACTAAAGATGATCAATTTGTTTATGAATTTTCATATGATAGAATCCTACATTAAATGGTGCTTCTTCTATTTGTTCTGGATCTGGATGTCCAACTAAAGTGTATAATATTGGAAGCTTTGGAATTTTAATAGAGAACCGCACTCTACCTTTTACGTTTGGCATTAAATTTGAAATTACATCAGATACAACAATTAAAGCTTGTGGTCAGTTTAATCATAGATTTACTTAAACTTAAAATAATGTATATAAATTTACATTTTTGACAACTATTGATCTAAATTTTCAGAAAACTTATTTTAATATAAAAGCTTGCATACAAAGACCAGTATTGATGGGGTTCGGGTCCCATAGCTTAATGGATAAGCTCCCGTCCCCCACAGACAAGGTCGACGGTTCGAGTTTGGCTCGAGGTAAAATACTCTGTAACCTAAAAAGGAGCCTATTATTGTATGCGAAGCCCTGTGGAAGTCCAAGTGAAGGTACATCTTTGGTTTAAGGAATTTCCGGAAGGAAACCGGTACGGCAGAGCATAGGTACTACTATAGTAAGAAATGTGGAGAATGTCGTCAACGTTTGTGGAAAGGATTGGCCTTACCAAATATGGAATCACCTCTGGCTGGGGTGTTGCACATCAAATGATTTACTATCATAGTGCAGCACTATATATGATTGGCACTATGTAAGATTTTTTAATTTTTGTCGATCATTTTATTAAAAAAAATTCGCCATAGTAATTAATTATAAAAATTGCGTATCTTCAAAACGTTCTAACTCTTGCTCTAGTAAAGCAAATTCGATTCTGTAACTTGCAAACGATATATGAATAGTGTAGTTTTAAAACTATGTTGAGAC